CACTGTTTTAGCATTGTGGGGGGCTGACATGCTATCCTGTTGACTCGTTGACCTGGTAGCTCACTAGAGCTCACAAGACTTTTTTCATGAATTGGTACCTTCATGTGAAAAAAAACCTTTCCCATCCCCTACTCATTTAGTTGATTTTTTTTTCAGCCTAGGTATGGGACTTTTATCTCTGTTAAGTTTTATTTTATTATACAGCCTATTCTTCTAACTTGCTGAATTCTTTTGTATCTCAGTTCTGTATTTCAACATCCTTTCCAATTTCTTATCATTCATAAATTTGCTAAATGTGCTATCTAGGTATTTTTTTCATACAAATCACTGATAAAAATTTTAAACAGAAAGGACCAAGAACAGAACCTTAGGGTACTACACTGGAGACCACCTTTTAGGTTGACAACAATCCATCAATTATTACTATGGGTCCATTAGGTTGACAACAATCCATCAAGTATTACTATGGCTCCAATTCTAAACCTGTACTATCATCTTTCTACATTTTTCTCTCATGTCCATATCACTCTGTCATATGCCTTGTTGAAATCCTGATATACTGTGTCTATCACACTGGTCTATTAATTTAGTAACCTTGCCTAAAAAGAAAATGAGATTAGTTTCCCATGGCCTACCTTGATGATCTCCTATTCTTAGTTATCATTACTTCTAATAGTTTAACCATCCTTTAGTAATGTTTTAGAATTTTGCTAAGCCAGTTTTCAGAAGAAATCAAAGCTGAGTCCTATGAAAAAAATGCTTTAAATCACTACTGATTAGAGAAATGCAAATTAAAACAACACTGAAATACCACCTCACACCTATCAGACTGGTTAACACAACAGAAAAGCAAAATGACAAATGCTTGAGGGGATGTGGAAAAAGTGGGACACTAATGCACTGTTGGCGGAATTGTGAAATGATTCAACCATTCTGGAGAGCAATATGGAATTATGCCTACAAAACCATGCACACACTCTTTGACCCAGCACTACTGGGTGTGTATCCCAAAGAGAACAAAGAAAAAGAAGAAAGATCTATTTGTATCCAAATATATATAGTAGCTCCTTTTGTGGCAGCTATTGGAAACGCAGAGAATGCCCACCAATTGAGGAATGGCTGAACAAGTTGTGGTATATAAATGTAATCGAATACTATTGTGCTATAAGAAATGATGAATGGGATGGTTTCAGAAAAACCTGGGAAGACTTATATGAACTGATGCAAAGTGAAGTGAGAATAACCAGGAAAACATCGTACATAGTAACAGCAATATTGTAAGGATGACCAACCATGAAAGACAATTAATTTCAAAGGACCGGTAATGAAAAATGCAAACCACCTCCAGAGAACTGATAAACTCTGAGTACAGACTAAAGCATACTTTTAAATTTTTCTTGATTTTTCTTATTTTTGTGTGTGCTTTCCTCTGCAACATGGCTAATATGGAAATATGTCTTGCATTATTTTACATTCTAATTGATATCATATTGCTTGCTTTCTCAAGGGGGTTGAGGAGGGGTGGGAAGAAGTGAGAGAATTTGGAACTCAAAATTTAAATAAAAAATTAATGCTAAAATTTTTTACATGTAGTTGTGAAATACTTAATGAAATAAATAAAAATAGATATTAAAAATGATTTTGCCAAAAATTAAAGTCAAGCTCACTAATCTATAGGAACTCATCCTTTTATGTTTTTTGAAAATCAGGACAATTTTCAGCTTCCAGTTTGCATCTATTCTCCATGATTTTTCAAAGATCATCAATAGTGGCTTAGCAGTCACATAAAGTTCTTTCAGAGAACCCTAGCATCCCTGTTTGAGTTTTGTGGCTTGATCTCAGTGTGGGCAGTGAGGAACTCTTCTATCCTGTCCTCACTTCTCTTGAATTTCACTCAATGCTTTTCTAAACATTTTTGTTTTGTCCTTCCCCATCCTAAGGAAGTTCCCTTTGGAAGAGAAAAAAGAAACAAAGAGTTGAGTCATTCTGTCTTCCATCTGCCACCAATTACTGCCTCTATACAGTGGTCCTCTCCCTTCCTGGAGCTTCCTTGTGCCCTCAATAAATCTTAGCTTCTCCCCCTTTTTTTGTCCTAAGTATTAATCACCAACTTTAGCTCTTTTGAAGGTTATGGCTTTTGACACTATTTTTATAGAACCATGCCACTCTTTTGTATATTTTCCCTCATTTTTGCCTCTGTCTTTTAAAACCTCTCAAAGAGAAGTTGGTCAATGAGTTTGTTGTCTAAGTACATTTCTCCAGATAGCTCCTCTTTTTGCCCCTTAAGCTCATTTGTATCATTGGCACCTACTATTCATGATACTCTGTATGTGTATCCTGGGTGGCTGTTAACCTTGCACACCTGGCCTGCCTCTTACTCTAGATTGCCTTGTCCTAGAGTTGGGATTCAAAGGATAGGCAAGGTAAACTGGGGTATGAACTTGAGGAAGTAAGTTTGGGCCAGATTGTTGTGAGTGCTGAATGCCAGGATGAGGTCGAATTTGACTTAAGAGTTAATAACAAGGTTTTTGAATGGAAGACTGATGAAATGAGGGTGGTGCCTGGAAAGTCATCTGTCATGGTGTTTAGGATAGGCTGTCTGGAAGCAGGGAGGAAAGAGTGTAGCAAAAGAGAGACCATTTAGGAGTTTATTAAAATATTCCAAGTCATAGCATGTAAAGAAAAATATTAACACTGTACCTTATATTTTAGGCACACATCTTCCAGAAATAATTTAACATTAATCTAATATCCAAACCATTTCTAGCTTAGAAAGAGGAGATATACAAACTGGAATAGTTCTTCCATGCCCTCCAACATGCCTTAAAACAATTTTAGGTAACATTTATAAGAATCCTGAAGAAGAAAATCACATTATGCAAAAATAAAGTTTTGAGTTAATATTCCAGAATAGATGAGTAATCAGATCACAATCCCATTTCTTCCTGGACCAAGGCTCCAAGACATTTATATCAATAATCTTTTGAAAAAGAAGGCAGAGGGGCAGGTAGGTGGTGCAGTGGATAGAGCACTGGCCCTGGAGTCAGGATGATTTGAGTTCAAATCCGGCCTCCGACATTTGACACTTACTAGCTATGTGATCCTGGGCAAGTCACTTAACCCCACTGCCTATCGGAAAAAAAAAAAAGAAAAGAAAAAGAAAAAAGAGGCAAAGAGTGTACTTCCCTTTCCATAGAAAGGAAAGCATTTCCCAGTTGGGGGCAAGGAGTATCCTAATGCACTCACAGTTAAGTTTCTTCATCACTCTTAATCCATTTTCCTAAGAAAAGTCATGGCTTTTGTTCTACCCATTTTCCTAAAAGGAAAAGTCTGGAAGGAAGTTTATAATATGCGAACACAACATGTATTACTATATGTAAGGTGTACTAACAATGAAAAATTAAAGTCTTTGTCCTTGGCCAAAAGACAGATGACTGGGGGAGAAAGAGTTTCTCTTAGGCATAATAAAGGTAAGAGGAGAGTATAGGAAGGATAGCTAAGGGCAAGTTCAGAGGAAAGGCCAAATATGTATTGTTGGCTGCCTTGGTCGTTTGGGACCTTAACTGCCTAGTATGTGCTACTACAATGTATTAAGTCTGTGTAACACTAAGAAAACATCAGCATCTTTGGCCGTATGTATCATGCACGGAGAGATGCTTGTCCTGTGACAAGTGATATTGTATAAGACATGCCAGAAATTGATTTCAACTTTTCAAAAGAGAATTTGAGCTCTTGAATGTCTGCCTTATCAATAGTAGTTTAATTTTCTTATTCTTCCCCAGTATTCTTTCACCAAAGTGAAATAATCACCGACATTTGCTATTTCAGGTCATAAGATAAACAGTGAAAACAACAGAATCCAAAGTTCTGAAGGACATAATCCCAAAGAGATCATAAAAATGGGAACAGGACCCACAAGTACAAAACTACTTATAGCAGCTCTTTTTGTGGTGGCCAAGAATTGGAAATTGAGGGCATGCCCACTGATTGGGGAATGGCTGAACAAGTTGTGGTATATGAATGTATGGAATATCATCGTTTCATAAGAAATGATAAGCAGGCAGACATCAGAAAAACCAGGAAAGACTTACATGAAGTGATGCTGAGTGAAGTGAGCAGAACCAGGAGAACGCTGTACACAGCAACAGCCACACTGTGGGATGACTAACTTTGAAAGACTTAGCTCTTCTCAGCAATGCAAGGATCTAAGACATCTCCAAAACACTCATGATGGAAAATGCTATCTACATCCAGAAAAAGAACTATGAAGCCTGAATGCAGATTGAAGCATATTATTTGCTCTTTTTTTTGTCTGTTTCTTCTTTCTCATGGTTCCTCCCATTGGTTCTAATTCTTCTTTACAACATGACTAATGGGAAAATATGTTTAATATGAATATATATGTAGAGCCTGTATCAGATTACACACCAAAGGGGGAAAAAATTTAGAACTCAAAATCTTAATGAAGTGAATGATGAAAACTAAAAGGAAAGAAAGAAATGTAATCACATAGTATATTGTCTTTAAAAAGGGCTTAACTTTTGTTTGTGTCATGGACCTCTTTGGCAGTCTGGTGAGCCTTATGGAGAGCTTCTCAGGAAAATTCATAAAACAAAGTATATAGTATTATAAAGGAAACCAATTATATTGAAAGATAGTTGTCAAAATATTTTTTAAAAAGAAGTTTAGAGACCTCAGGTTAAGAAGCCTTGACTCAGAAGATCTAAGGTTCTAATCTTCCCCCGCCCCTTCCCGCCAAATCCTGAGTGTTAGAGAAACCTAGAAAGACAAATAAAAATCACAAAGACAAGTATATGACTTCAAGAAAAGAACAGAGGGAAAACCAGAAATTTTTGTCCAGAAAAGAGGTTTTAAGAAGTCAGACTTGTAAAATAGAAAAATTTAATAAAGGTAAAGAATGTGGGAAAAGCTTCCATGGTTACCATTACCTTATCTTACACCAAAGAATCCATATAGGGGAGAAGCTTCATAAACCGTACCTCCACTTTGTTAACATAGGTAAGATGACTATTTCACAGGATGACAGCCTTCCATACAGTAGAATGCAGAATTCCTTGTTTACTGGAGATCCCTCAAAAGAAAGAGGAAATGGAAAAAGCAATTATAGCATGAGCCTTATTCAGATGTCAGTACAGTGCCTGGTACAGAGTAAACATATAACAAATGCTTGTTAATCTGACTTATAAATGTAACTACAAGAGCTTCAGTTGAGGATCATGGTAATAAAAACTGACATTTACATAAACATTTTAGGTTTTCCAAGGACGATTTTCTAGGTTGTAAGTGAAAGAGGGGTTGACAAATACAGAGAAAGCAGGAGGGGGTGGTGTTTTAGGTGTAAAAATAATAAGTTCTTAGAAACAAAGTAGGTACTCATTGACTGGGAAATGGTTAAACAAATTGTGGTACATAAATGCGATAGACTATTACTGTGCTGGTATTAATATGAACATGATAAATATGGAGAAGCATAGGAAGGCTTAACATGAATTGACTGATGCAAAGAAAGCGAACAGGCCCAGGAAAATAACATACACAATAACTACAACAATGTGAATGAAATTAACAACCACAACAAAACTGAAAGTTGTGAAATTATAAGGAATCAGCTTGACTACAAAGAAGAGATATGAGAAGAAACTTTCCCCTGCTCCTTTGCAGAGGTCAGGGCTAAAGGGTGTGAAACATCAAATATGTCAAATTGGTGGGTGGGGGGAAGAATGTGTTGATTGATTTTACCAAATTTCCCACACACACCCCCTTTCTGTTATAATGGTCAATTCTCTGGGAGAGTGTAGAAAAGGGAAAAAGCTACTAATCTAGATGATGCAAAAAAAAAGATTAATAAATGTATTTTTAAAAGTTTTGTTATATATATGTGTTGAATTAGAGATGTTTAGGGGATATTCATGTTGAGATGTTCAGCAGGCAGTTGGAGAGGCAGAATTGGGCACTAGCTTGGGAAAGGTAGGGTAAGCTTTCCTAGGGCTTGGGTAGATGGTTCATGGTAATATGAATGAAGATAACAGTTTGATGGGAGTAAGAACAGAAGGGAAGATTTAGCTCATGACATAGTGAAAGCTAAGGAAACACATACAACAAGCTTCAAATGGCATCTTTGTACAGAGAAATCCAGAGCCAGAGAATTAGAAATAAATTAACATCCAAAACAATCTCAAAATAGGAAGGAGCTAAATGTGACAAATATCTTATGGTTGAGAGAAGGTAAAGCTCATACCTTCAGAACTCTTTGAAAACGGGTTATGAATCTGAGCAGTTAAGTGGCACAGTGGATAGAGCACCAGACCTGGAGTCAGAAAAACCAGAGTTCAAATCCAGCCCCAGACACTTCCTAGCTGTGTGACTGTAGGCAAGTCATTGCACCCTGTTTCCTTCAGTTTCTTCATCTGTAAAAATGAAGGAAATAGCAAACCATTCTAGTATCTCTGCCAAGAAAACTCCAATGGAGACACAAAGAGTTGGACATATAACTGAACAACTATCCTGTTAATATACTTAGGTAGATCATTCCCTTGTGTTTTGCAATAAATCCCCTTATAATACATTAGGTTAGTGGGCTACTGCAGCACAAAATAAAGGACAGAACAATCTCTGTAAATAAATAAAGGGTTGAAATCTGTGCAGTGCTAGATGATCTTTTTAATTTCCCTCCCAACTTAAGATTTCTTATTTTATAGTTAACCTACATTTAATAGAGATTGGTCTTCCGAAAGGGATTCAATCAAGGCCAAGGACTTACTGGCCTAGCTTAGGTTCCTTTTCCCTCTGAGGAATCTTGAAAACTGATTAGCATCACAAAAATCTCAAAGACATATATCATTCGCAACATATTCTCACTTCCCTATCTTGTCTTTTCTTTACTTGAAATCTTAATTCAGGAGGATATTTTTAGCTTCATTTCCCCCTTGTAACAGAGCTAATTTCTCTGCAGTTATCTGACATCCTAAACAACCTCTACCGCGCCATAACTGAGCCATCACCAATAGCCTGACAAACTTTTACACTTGGATGTCCTGTAGTCACCTTCAACACAACATTTATAAAATTGAACTCATCTTCATCATTACACCAAACTCCAACTTACCTTTCCTTCCAGAAACAAGGACATATGGAGACCTTTAAGAATTTTTGCCTGGGGGCAGTTAGGTGGCGCAGTGGATAGAGCACCAGCCCTTAAGTCAGGAGGACCCGAGTTCAAATTTGCCCTCAGACCAAACACTTGACACTTAACTAGCTGTATGACCCTGGGCAAGTCACTTAATCCCAACTGCCTTTAAGAAAAAAAAAAGAATTTTTGCCTGACCCAAATTAACTTAGTAGAGTGGGTTACAGCAGAGAAGTGTTTCTTCCTACTCATAGATTAGAATTAGAAGGATCGACATCTCGGTTTTAATTACGGAGAAACTAAGGCGCACAGGGATGAACTGGCTTAACCTACAGCAAAAAAGCAAGTTAGTAGCAGAGTTGCAACTAGAATTCAGATATCCTGAAATTCCAGACCTAGGCTTCTTTCATACGTCCAAGGTCATGGGTTCACTTCCCGGATCAACTGTGTTGCAAGGCCAAATGCACCTTTTTGGAAAAGATGCAGCCATTTGCTTTAAGGGATATAAGGGGGAGTGATTAAAGAAAATCTGTCACCATACCTAGATGGTTCTTTATGGAGGGTTCTTCAAAGGCATAATCAGGACGCTGACAATCAACATCAGGTCAGGATTCAAGAAGGCTGAAAGAGTTACGAACCTGGGCTAGGTCTTTCCGAGGGCGTGGTTCCGGGGATACCGGAAGGGACACGCCCTTTTCCGGCTCCGTCCCAGAAGGCTACCTGTTGGCTAGTCCTCTTTTTCATAGGGCATTCTGGGAAATATCAATCCCAGCGGGCTTCCTTAGCGCTGTTTGATTGGTCGGTTCACTCCCGGGCGTTCCTGGGAGTTGTAGTTCCAGGAGTTACTCATTACGAGGTTCTCGGTTTCTCTTATTCTAAGACTTTCCGGCCCCAGTTGAGGGAGATGGGGGAGGAACTGCTCTGTTCCTAACTTCCTGAGATGGGGGACGGAGCCCGCAAGGGGAGACAGAGGCGGAGGCTAGTAGAGAATTGTTTTGGGGAAAGAGGGCAGGGAGCAGCCCCAACTAAGCATGAGATAAACAATAAAAATGAACAACCATCTCCTCCCCCGCCCCCAACCTTTCCTTCCTTGGGACACTCTTGCTCCTCAATAGCAAAAGACCCCTTTTGTGCTGGTCTCGGACGGGATCTCCCTTCTGGGGGCATCCTTTTATGCTCCTCCCCCTGCTCTCACCCCGCCCCTCGGGAGACTGCCTCCCCTCTGCCTACGCCCCTTTAGGCTCCTCCTCCTGAGTTCGCCCCGCCCCCAGGGAAACCGCTCCTCTCGGCACCGCCCTTTCAGGTCCCGCCTCTTCCTGCTCTCGCCCCGCCCCTGGAGAACTCCTCCCCTGTGGTCCCGCCCCACCAGACCCCTCTTTCCGTTCTTTCTCCCGCCCCCGCCGTCCGGAAGAAAGCTTCTCCTGGGCTTTGCTAGTGACTGGCAGGAATCCCCTTCTGTAAATGTCCCTGCTGGAAAGCATCTCAGAAGTCACCTCATCCAACCCGGATCTGAAGAATCCCTTCCTTTTATGTCATCCCTGCCTTGTGGGCGTCCGTCTTCGCCGGGGAAGGGGCACATCACCACCTCCCTCCCAAGCGGCTCAGGCTCTTGTGAACAGCTTCCACCCTCCCTTACGTCCAACCGACCGATAATGTCTGTCCGCTGAGCTCCTCTGTCACGTCCCGAGGGGATCTTCCTTCGGCTCGGTCCCTCTAGATTCCGCTGCCTGACCCTTGTACCCCCTGGAGACTGCCCCCAGACTTCCTTTTCCTCCCCCATCTCCTCCCTCCTGGTTAAGTCGTTTCAGTCCTATCTGACTCTCCGTGACCTTGGCGTAGATACCGGAGTGGTTTGCCATTTCCTTCCCCAGCTCATTTTGCAGATGAGGAAACAGAGGCCAGCAGGATTAAGTGACAGCTACTACGTGTCTGAAGCCAGATTGATGAGTCTCTCAGTGTCCAGGCCCAGCATGCAATCCACTGAGCCATCTTTCTCCTACACCTAAAGAAATGCTTTGTGGTTGAGGGTGGAGGGGAGGAGGTTAATAGTAAAATGCAATTATGAAGTGGATGTGGTTTATCAACTGGGTCTTCCAACCCCCACCTCCGCCCTCTAATGCTCTAAAGCAGCCTTCAGGCCTATTTCCATTCAGGCCTCACCTTTTATCCGCTTTGACTTGTACCCAGCTGTGGCCTGGCTTTGAATTACCTGACATCAGATTAAAGGCATGTCCTTCTATCCCAAGGCTCTTAAAATAGCCTGGGAGGTTGAGTCAGCTGGCAGGACCTTAGAGTTATCTAGTATATTTGATGATATTCAGCTTTCTATTTGACATTTTAAAAAAAAGTTAAATTTTTACGATTTTTTAAAAAAAATGATACCCTGAACACGATAGCCTTGGGAGACACTAGGGCTCCTTAGTCCCATTCTCTAAACGTATTTATTCCTTATCATACAAACCTTTTCATCCTCCTCCAGCTTCCCATGGCTCCCCTCCCCCCACTCCCATCCTTTCAGCTGAGAAGCTTGCCTCAAATTTTATAGAAAAATTGAAGCCATTCCCTGTGAGCTCTTTCTTCTCCCCTCTTCCTCATTTCTTATTTCTCAGATGCCTTCTGCCACTATCACCTCCACTCCTGTCTCACAGGAAGAGGTGACCTTACTCCTTACCAAGGTGCATTCTTTCACTTGAAAAAGCAATCCTATTTCTTTCCATCTCCTCTGAAAGATTGTCCTCTCTGCAATCCCCACTTTGCCGCTTATCTTCAGTCCTGCTCCTTCCCTACTGCCTAAAAACAGGCCTATGCTCCGCATCCTCTAAAAACACTCATTTGATCCATCCGTCCCTGATAACTGTTGTCTTCTATCTCTTCTACCATTTGTGGCTAAAGTCCTCAAAAAGACCATCTATACAAGACCATCTCTCTTCTCTCTTACTTTTTCATCCCTTACAATCAGGCTTGCCACCTCTTCATTCCACTGAAACTCCTCTCTCCAAAGTTACCACAATCTCTTAATTGACAAATCTAATGGCCTTTCCTCAAACCTCATTCTTCTTGACCTCTCTGCAGTCTTTGACACTTTTGATCACCCTCTTCTCCAGCTACCTTTCAGACATCTCAAACTGTATGTCCAACAGACATCGTAAACTCAACATGTCTAAAACCAAACTCATTATCTTTCCTCCTAAATTTTCCCCACTTCTAACTTCCCTATTACTATAGAGGACAGCACCATTAAGCCCAATTCCTCAGGCTCACAACCTAGGTGCCATCCTTGACTTCTTACTGTTACTCCCCATTTCCAATCTGTTGCCAACAATGTCTGTCAATTTCACCTTTGCAACATCTCTCCAATATGCCCCCTTCTCTCCTCTGACGCTTTCACCACTTTGGTACACATCCTCACCACCTCACTCTTGGACTATGACAATAGCCTGTTGGTGAGTCTGCCTGCCTCAAGTCTCTCCCACTCCAATCCATCCTCCATTCAGCCACTAAAATAGTTTTCCTAAAGCAAAGGCCTGACTATGTCATCTTCTTACTTAATAAATTTCATTGGCTCCCTGTCACCTCCAGAATTAATACCAAATCCCCTGTTTGGTATTCAAAGCCAGTCTTCTTACACTTTGCTCCCCAGTATTTACTTTTTGATTTAGTGACACTGGCCTCCATGCTCAGTCTTGTCTCTGGGCATTTTTTCTGTCTGTCCCTCTCCCTCTTTTTGCTTATTGGCTTCCCTGGCTTCCTTCAAGGCCCAATTAACAGGAAACCTTTCCTAGTCCCTTTTAATTCTAGTGCTTCCCTATTTCCTATTTCTCTAGTGCCTAACTTGTTTGTATATAGTTGTTTGCATATTGTCTCCTCCATTAGGTTGTGAACTCCTTGAGGGCAGAGATTGTCTTTTACCTGTTTTTTGTATCTCCTGCTCTTAGCACAGTACCTGATACATAATAGGTATTTAATAATCAATCAGTTTTGCCCTTTTTTCACTGGAGAAGTATGAGTCCTAGGACTAATCACCAGATATTTGGGGCAGCTATGTTGTGAGCAGGACAGAGTTAAACATGGTTATTAACCTTAATCTATTCACTTAAGGGCCTTCTCCCTCCCGGCTTTTTGCCCTGACCTATTATTCCTTTTTTTCGCCAGGGGGTTTCCCCCAGAGTTTGGAAAGGGCATTAGAAAAATATTATTTAATATTTTCAGTTTTATTATAAATTAGGTTTTAAATATGCCTCCACAGTACATTTAGGTTATTTTCCTCTTTCTTTGGTGTGCATCAAAAGGATGCACATTTTAGTAACTTCAGGGGCATAGTTCCAAATTATTTTTTAGAATGACTAGACCAATTCACACCTCTACCAACAGTTACATTATTATTTCCCCAAAGCTCCTGCAACAATTGTCATTTTCTCCTTTTGTCACATTTGCCAGTCTAATTGAGCATGAACCCTCCTGAAGTTGCTTTAATTTTAAATTATTAAATTGCTTCAATTAATTTCAATTTAAATTAATCAATTTAATTAATCATCAATCAACTGATTAAATAGCTTCAATTATTAGCAATTTAGAGAATTTTAAAAATATGGTTGTTGATAGCTTGGATTTCTTTTTTAAAATTGTCTGTTCATATACTTTGATCATATCTATTAGGTAATGGCTCTAAGTCTTGTATATTTGAGTTAGTTCCTTATATATCTTTGAAATGAGTCCTTTATCGGAGAAACTTACTGCAAAGATTTTCCCCATTTATGTTTCCCTCTAATTTTAGTACATTAGATTCATTTGTGCAATAATTTTAAAATATTATGTAATCAGGATAGTTTATTTTATCTTCTGTGATCCTATCACTTGTTTAGTCATGAATTCTTCTCCAGTCCATAGATATGAATGACAATTCATTCCTTATTCCTCTAATTTGCTTATGATATGACCTTCTATGTCTAGGTTATAGATCCATTTGAAGCTAATCTACATGATATGAAATATTGATATAAATCTTATTTCTGCCAGATTACTATCCAGTTTTACCAGCATTTTTTGTCACTTTGTAGTAAGGGTCTTTGGATTTATGGAATACCATGCTACTTTGTTTGCTTCTGTATGTTGTATGACATCTCTATTTTTAAACTAGTACTAAAGTATTTTAATGATTTCTGATTGATTGATTTATTAATTCTGATTCCCCTCCCCTTATTGTCATTGAGATTCTTGAACTCTTGTTCCTCCATATGAATTTCATTATTATTTTTTTCCACCTCTATAAGGTATTCCTTTAGCAGTTTGGTGTAATACTGAATAAGCAAATTAATTTAGGTGGTATTATCATTTTTTATTATATTGGCTCTATTTACCCATGAGTAATGAATATGTCTCTATTTATTATTTATTTCTCCAGTTATGCAAAGTGTTTAATAGTTGGGTTCATATAGTTCCTGGGCTCATCTTAGAAGATACACTCCTAAATATTTTATATCTTCTGTAGTTTTTATATTTAAATTTTATTTTCAGTTTCAATCTCTCTCTCCTCTCCCCCCTCCCACACTGATTAAGAAGGCAAGAAAAACAAGACCCATTGTAAATATTTATTCATGCAAAACAAATATCCACATTAGCCATGTCCAAAAAAGGAGAAAGAGGAGAAGATGATGATGATGATGAAGAAGAAAGCAATGAAAAGAAAAAGAAAAAAATAAGCTTCAATCCACACTTTGAATACTATCAGTTGTCTATCCGGAGGTAGATAGCATGTTTTATGGGTCTTTTGGAATGGTGTTTGGTCATTGTGTTGATCATAGTTTCTAAGTTTTTCAAAGTTTATTGTCTTTATAATGGGGTATGTGGGGTGTTCAGGAGGACTAACACCTCTGGCATGAGGGCTTGCAGAACCCTTTTCAGGGCTGTTCATCCACCTTTGGTGTCCACCTGGTTCACTTAACTCTCACCCATGGCTCCAAGAAGCTATAGCATGCGCAGTGGCCATATCACTATAAAATCTTGGCAGACAGGCTAAACCAGTCTGAGCATAACTAACAGGCCTCAAATCTGTGGGTGAGTTAAGGGGATGTCTACCCCAAGCATGTGAAAAATGGGCAGATGAGAACAATTTGTTCCAAGGGCCATGAGGGCAGCTGAAGCCGACACTATGGAGGTCCTAGGA